CATGTACTAGCTGCATCCTTTACTGTACTCTCCCTGCTGGCGCTAATGGGAGATACAGACAGCAAAACAGACAGCTCGTTCATGATGGACTCGGACCCTCGACGCTGCATGAGGCACCACTATGTCGATTCTATCAGTCATCCATTGTACAAGTGTAGCTCAAAGGTAAGATCAAGATTTCTGTGAGGTAGCATTACTTCCAGAAACAGGAGAGAAGCCAGGAGATGGATAACTATGATGATAGCTCAAACCCGAACTATAAGGTTGGCCCACAGGGCTTGTGAGAGAGTCATGCTTTTAGGGTTTCCCATCATACTTTGCAGTTTTGTCAGTAAAGCTGACTAATTGACCTTGTGCACACACAGCCAGCTTCTCTCTTTTCAGGCTGCTCAAGGTCAATAGGAAAGGATGGAAAGTTCTCACAATAAAATCATTGCTAAACACAAGGTTGAGGGGTGTGTTTCATCTTTGGCTGTGAAATTTGTGAGCGGTAGTATTCTTTTCAAGAAAAAAATCATGGAGTCTATAAGTTATCATAATACCTTCTACCTCCACCAGCAATAAAGAGGAAGGGGAGTCAAGAAATATGATTGAACAGTGAAACGTATTTCTTGAGGGGTTCTTCAAAGAGTTTCCTGATGAAATAGTTGGTCATTGGCTTTACGGTCCAAGCTTTCTTCACCTTCCATGTTTATGTTAAAATTATTTCAAAAGATAAATGGTAATTTGGTCATTTGTCATTTTACATTATTTACGCATGTCATTCTTGTTTGGAATAGGTTGTATGTGTTTTTGCACAGGCACTCTATGCAAGTGATGTCTCAGTTTTGGCACAAGATGTAGGAAACACTATCATGCTTCAAAGACCACCAAGAGTGGCCAGACACATGAGCCACCAGAAGGGAAGCACATAGTAGGGAAGAACAGACTCAGAATTAGAATTCTCATGACTGTCACTGCCCCCAAACAGTCATATGAGTGGAATTTGCTCACATTTGGTAAATAAAAATTTGTTTAGGCCAACTGTAGAGATTTTCATTTTTAGTCCTGAGACTAAAAATCACTTAAACATTCTCATGTGGCAAGTATTTTTTAAGTTACCAGTATAATTAAGAACTTTTTGTAATATCAATCATTAGAATTAAGACCATATAAGTTAATCTCTCTACCCTCCATTTAAAAACATTACAACTTCTGTCTGTCTTTAAAATTTCCATAACTTCTCTGATTATAGCTCAATGATAATGGCTTGTTTTAGTTTTGGGGAATCAGAATTTAAGTTAAATAATTTTAATCATTATATTAGTAAGATCTATGACTGTGGGAAAAAATAGACCTAAGGAGAAAGATTGTGACAAGTAGAGAGTTAAATGTTACCAAACAGCACAAAAGATATTTGTTTGTCCCAAAGTCTTGCTTGTACTTAAGAAAAACTTTCTGTCTCTTATTTGTACTTGTAGAAATAAACAAAAAGTAAATAGATAAACTTAAATTTTTTTCAAGACTGCAATCCCTTCTTAGGGAATAAAACCTAAAACAAACTGGTAAAAAGAGGTGGGACGTGATTTTACAACAGTGATTGCTCAGAAATTGACTGGAGCAATTATTAGCTTCTCCTCCCCCACCTCAAGATACTGTTACCAGCTAGGATTTAGTGTTTCTTATTCCATGGATGATTTCTTCCTCTGATGAGTTGTCTTCCATAATCATAATTCTTTTAGAAAAAAGGAATTAAAATTATTTCAAAGAAAGTGTCAATGTGATAATAAGAAGGAACAAAGAAACAGGAGTGTCTCCAAAAATGAAAAAAAAAAAAAACAATCTGGAAAGATTTGGTGAAATGTGAAATGATGGAGGCACGCCTTAGCAATTATAACATTAGTTAAGGGAAGGTCAAAGAAGAGATGTCATTAACTCGAACCCAACAAACTCACAGTGCTTGAGAATGAGTCCGGAAATACACTTTAATCTATCCTTGTTCACTTCTGTTTCTTCCAGAATGCCATGGTAAATAGCACAAAATTGTGATAGTAGGAGAAATATTTGTAATTTCATAAAAAATGACCAGTTTTCAAACATCCAAAACTATCTCAAATATAGCAATAGTTTTACATAAATGGTGCTTCCTTGGCCATAAAATATGCCTGGAAGAATCTAGACTACCCAGACATTTCCTGAATTGATTTTCTTTATGTACCCCCAAACAAAAACTGTTTTTAATTTTAAATTATTTCATAATTCTTAACTTTCACAGACTCAGGCTGGTCTTCTCTCTAATGGGTCTCATTTAATAAAGTTGTTTGTCTTTGTAGACTTGTGATAAAGCATTTAACTTCCATATAGAAAACAGACAACAGTTTTTACAAAAATCTACCCTAGGAGACTAGGTAGATTTTTCCTCTCTGTAAAAATTTTCCCCCAACATGATATTCAAAGGCTATTATTTACTAGAAACATGCCTAATGTTTACTTTTCAATTGTTAATGCTTCCTGACTTACAAGTATTCAGTGTATGGCCTTAAGAAGACAGATGAAGGGGAGTTTGTGATCCAGGCTCAGGGAAGGGAGGGCACTTGCTTGAACATCTAATATGTGTCAGGAACTTCATACTATGTAATCTAATCAATGCTAACAAACCTGTGATAGGAGACATCATTCCCATTTTACTGGCAAGAAAAAATGAAACCTGAAAGAAGTATTAAGTAGATTGTTCCATGTCATATAGTCCAGGAATGGCAACGTCTGCTTCAGAGTATCCATCTTTCAACTATTTGTATCTTCATATTGAAGGAATGCAAGTAGAAAGCAGGAACTAAGCTCAACTTCTGATCTGCTGCAAATTATGATTTTTTTTACTCAATAATCTTTCTAGAATTAGAACTAGTAGTGAAAGTTTTCCTGGGAACCTTCCATAAAACTTCTTGTTCCCCGCTAGCCCTAAACTTACAACTGGCTAGCTCCAGGGGCCTGTTGCCCATCTTCTAAAAATTCAGGAAAGAGCTGAGGTGGAGTCAGGCAGAAAGGACTAGCTACAGGGGTCCACCAAGGAGGTCATTGTGGCCACAAATTAGGATGTGTCTGGTGGCTTTCAGTGGTGAGACCTCCTCAGATTGGGTACAAAAGATTCCGGGAGTGGCAGGTTCATTTACAATCTTTCCTGAACTTCTAAGTGAGTAAAGGCTATAGAACAAATAGGCAAAAGTCGGTGGTTAATGGAAACGAGCTATCTGGGGTGTCTTTAATAGAACTGAGACATTCTAGACTTTGAAGTGAGATAGACCTGGTTTCAATTCCAGTTCCACATGCCAAATGAGTGAATTTCTTGCCATGTAAAATGCTGTCTACCTAAAGGCATGGGCAATGATATTTGAAAAGCATCCAGCACAGTGGCTGGCATATAGTAGACATTAATAAATGATATTATGATCTTGATGATGAAGTTATAAACTGGACAGGTGTTTAGACTTACTTTTCTATTTCAGTCACTACTGCGATCTCAATAACTATTGGGATCTCCTATAACCTTAAAGGATTAGGAGAATGAACCTCATTGTGGTTCTTGTTGAACACAGAAACTTGGCAGGGTTGGGAGGAGCATGCAGAAGAACAAAGAAAATGTAAGCTGCTGTGCTGGGTGCTAAGAGTGGGGATAAAAGTTTAAGAGAAATAGATCTTGCTGTCTGACCTCCCCTCCCAGGTGAATGGAGGAAAGAAGGACTGGAGCTGGATGACTTCTGGATTCAAGCCAAGGAGAGATTATCAGGAACTGAGATTGGGATAGTGAGCTGGTGAGGAAGATGAGTGGGAGATGGTAGCCCCAGGCCAAGGGCATGAAACCATGACATATGGTTGGCTGAACTCTGAAGGGCCACAGGGGCTGCGCCAATAGAAGAGGAGGGTTCAGGGGACAAATCCTGGGACAATCCCAGAGGAAAAGGGTCCTGGCATGCCAAGGACTGAGCTTCATGTTGGGAAGGAGCAGTTAGGATCCCCAAGCCATCTCCTACTGCTGCCCATGAAGTTCATAGTGCAGTAGAAGAAACGAGAGAGTCAGGAATATTAAGTTTATAACACAATTAACTACTGAGGAGATATGAGTTAATTTTTAAAATATATTTTTTATTTTTTAATTATAGTTGACATACAATATTATATTAGTTTCAGGTGTACAACATAGTGATTAGACACTGTACATACTTATTACAATATTATTGACTATATTCCATATTTTGTACTTTACATCTCTGTTATTATTTTGCAACGACCAATTTGTACTTCTTAATCTCTTCCCTTTTATCATCCATCCCCCAAACTCCCTCCCATTTGGCAACCATAAAAATGATCTCTGTATGTATGAGTTTGTTTCTGTTTTTTTGTTGTTCATTTATTTTGTTTTTTAGATTCCACATATAAGTGATATCATACCATATTTGTCTTTCTCTGACTTATTTAACTTAGCATAATAACCTCAAGTTTCATCCATGTTGTTGCAGATATGATTTAATTTTTTTTTTAAAGAAAGACAATTGTATACTGAATGCCTACTATGTACTGCCACTGTGGTAGGTACTGGAGGCACAAAAATACAAAAAAAAAAAGACAAAATTTTGGCCCTTATAATGCTTCAAATAAATGGGGGAGAGAGGAATTGTTCTGTGTGCAAAAGCCTCCTTATGTCTATTTGAATTGTGAACAGATTCCAGTTGGAGTTTTCAGAGTTCCAACTCATCCCATCAAAGATCTCACTCCCCCCCCACCCTACCCTGCTTTATTCCTCTGGTTGCAATTTTGCTGATGCTGTCAGCCTAGTATAGGTTGATCTGAGAGATGAGTTAAACAGTCACTTGTTGAGAGCGTTGGTGAGAAAAGGAATGGAAGAAACGTGGATAAATATTGTTCCTGAGGAGAAAGGGAGTGCTTCAAGGGATGCCATAGAATAAGAAATGCACAATGTTCACTACTGAGAAAAAAAGACAAAATATGTTTCTCACTCAATTGGGGTAAAATAGTCCAAACCCTGTTCTAGGAATGGAGAGGTGTGTCTTTATTCTGATACTGATGGAGACATCTAATCAGTCATGGCCTGAGCCAGGAATTCATGGGAGTTCAACATAACAGGAGAAGAAAATGACTTTGGCGATGGTAAGAGTCTTTCAACAAAGGTG